TCACTCATTTCCTAGTTGGCTTTTTTCTCACTCTTCAAAAATACCTCATGTATCGTGCGTGCCTTCCTCTGGAAAGCACCTTTCTGACCACCCAGGACCGGTGGGACAAGGCTGGAAAGGGGCCCGGGGAGCGAGGGGTACCCCTGCGGTGTGTGTCACTCGAAAGCCCTGCCCGGGAGTCATCCCAAGTTGCTGAAAGATCTTAAACTTAAAGAAAAACACAATTCCCTCTCCCACGGCCGTGCTTCGCAGGGTGCAAAAACGTCAGAGTCTGTCGGCGCTGTTAAGGCTCTGCGCTGGGGATACATCCTTGGGAAAATAAAACCTCTTTAATAGCAGCTCAGGTGGGGCAAGCCCTGATTAGGGAGCAAAAATATCATTAGTCATTTCTGAAAGCGCTCACGGAGGCTTTTTGTCTTCTTTGGCTTTACTTTTATTCAAAATATTTTGCTTTTCATTTGGTGCATGGGTTATTTTTATTTGGCAAGCGGTCTCGCTTATTTTATTTGAATATCCTTTGTGGCGGGCAATCTCTAAGCAGAGGGTGACTTGTCACGGAGCAGAACTGAACATGAAATAGGGAAGTTTTATTTTCTCTCCCTCTGGTCACTGTTCCCCTTAATGAAAATAGGACCCACACGGATTTTAGAATGAAGACTATAACCAGGGACGGTAAGGGCATCAACACTGAGCAGGATTCATCACTACCCATGACGACCCTTTGATGAAGTTTTAATCCAGCGAACACAAGCTGAATCCAGAAATATTCTCTGGTGCGCCAGCACCGGAGCAGGATCAGGCCTTCGAAATGACCCAAGCTTTGGGGGAAGCGATGGACGCAGCCCTGGAGGCATCGCTTCCTCGTGCCCTCCCTCCATTTCAGCATCTGCCGGGGGAGCCGGCTTTGGGAGTGCTGCCGCATCACCGCTGCTCTTACGCACTTGTCCCACCTTATTTTATGTTATTTTAAGGCCGTGTTGTTATTGGCGTACAACTTGACTGACTTTGAGGAAAGATTTTTTTCTCTTTCCTCCTTTCTTGAATGGCTCCTTTGAAAGGCAGCGCCTCTCTGTTTACATCCCCACTGTCCGGATTGAATCAATCTTGTGGTCAGCTTCTGGAGGGGGGGGAGGGGGAAGAAGAAAAAAGCCTTACAAAGAGGGAAAATTGACAGGTCTGACCATCGGCGTGATTGATAGCGGTTGGAGAAGTGGGTGCGACGTCAGGCTGCACGGGGGCGATGCCGGCGCTCGCTGGGGAAATCCAGCAAAGCCTTTTTTCCCAGAACCCGGAGCAGACAGGCTTGGTGAGGGGTGGCCATATGAACTTAATAACAGCAACATTGTTGGAACATAAAGCATCTGTCAGGAGTTAATATGATTAATTAGAGGCGTCTCTCTCTCTCTCCCCCTCTTTCCCCTCTCCCTCTCTGGGTAGGCAGGAGGGACCTGAAACCCAAACCCGGGGAGGGCAGAGGTGGGTCCGTGCCGCGGCGCTGGCTGGAGCGGGCACCCAGCCCCAGCCCCAGGAAAGCTGGTTCCTCCCCACCAGCCCCGGCTCCGCCGCAAGCAACCGCCGTGCAACCTGCTATTGGCCAATGATAACGCCTTCAGCCAGAGGTACGTGGAGGAAAACACAAAAATGTCAAACATCCAGAGTCATAAACATGCCGGTGGCACACCACGCCAGTCAGAGGGATGGGTTACCGGGCTCTCAATAGGGAATTTGTTCCAGATAAGCCTTGATTTTAGCAGCACAGTGATGACATCACCCCAGTGCACTAAACACTCATTCCTCTGCTTTTTGGTACCCGACCCGGCAGATGGTTTCAGCGTGTGCAGTGCGACACGCGGCTGCCTTGCACTGCAGGTGGATCATCCTTCCAGCTCCTCGCCTTCCTTTCCTAAAGACACCACATTGCTTTTTTCCGGGCCAAAGGTTTTCAGTACTCACCCCACCCCGGCCCCCACGACTTTCTCCCATGACCCCACATCCCCAGCACATCTCTCCCCGAGCCCCTGTTCTCCCACCAGCTCCCAACCCAGGAGACCCAGGGGAGCAGCTCCCCGCCCCACCAGGACCCCGCAGCCGCCGCACGCTGGACATCACATCAGCCTGGGCGAGACGGGGTAAAACTCCAAGATTTATCCATGTGCCTCGGCTCCTCATGGAAAGAGCCTGGCTGATCTCGGTGGGATGGTGGTTTTCATCCCCCCCTGGAGCCCCAGGGGTTTGTGAATGTAATTCAAAGACATCTGGAAAAGGTAACTAGAAATAGGAAGTTAATTGTCAGGAAGCTTAATTAGTTATAGAGTGGCCTGCACAGTCACTGGCAAAATTTTAAGACTCTGCAAACCAAAGAAAGTAGAAAACCCCTGAAAGGAGTGTTGTAGGTGTGTAAGGGAGTTGCCACTTTTTGTGGGACCCGGCTTAAGATTGGCCCCATTCGCTGTGTTGCAGGTGCCCTGGACTCGCGCCCGATGGCTGCGTATCTATTGATGGTGTGAAATGATCAGTGACTGGTCACTACCCCAAGAACAGAAAATGCTCTGATAGCCAACCGCTGCTGCTGTTAAAATAATTTAAATGCTGGTGACTGCAATACATGCAAAATAAAAAAGTATGTATGCGACATGTGCTGGCCCTTCGGGTTTAGGTGACACTGCTGTCCCACCAGCAACCCCAGTGCTGCCCCAGTTTGCACACGGGTCATCTCTGGGGCCAGCAGAGACATCGAGCTGCCTCTGCAGGGACACGGGGGCCTCGCTCTGCCCCACGTGGGTGAGCACCCCCAGGCAGGGTGCCGGCAGCCCTCATCTTGTGTGGCACTGGGGTGGGATGGGGTGCAGGGTGCAGGGGTTGGACTGGGTGCAGGGGTCAGGCTGGGCACACGGCACAGGGGCTGGGGGTGCAGGGCACAGAGACTGGGTGCACCAGCCATTGCAGCAGCGGTGCTGAGCTGTGCTGTGCAAAGCTGTGCCAGGCTGATCTTATCAAAGCCACGCCATGGCGGCCAAGCCATGCCATGCCAGCAGTGCCATGCCATGCCATGATAAGACATGCTGGGCGTGCCATGCCAGCTGAGCCATGCTGTGCCATTCTAAGCTGTGCCAGCAGTGCCATGCCAGCCGAACTGTGCTATGCCATGCCAAGCTGTGCCAGCAGTGCCATGCTGTGCCAGCCAAGCCATGGCAAGGTGTGCTAGCAGCACTATGCCATGCCATGCCATGCCATCCAAGCTGTGCCACGCCATGCCATGCCAGCTGAGCTGTGCCATCGTGCCATGCCAAGTCCTGACAGCTATGCCATGCTCTGCCAGCTGAGCCGTGCCATGCCACGCCATGCCAGCTGAGCTGTGCTATGCCGTGCCATGCCAAG